TCTCCTTGGCGCCCTTCTTGCGGCGCCTGCCGCGCTTGTCCACAGGCGCCTCCGATGAAGCGAACATCGGGTCGGTCAGCATGCCGTTGAACCTCGAGTCCAGGGCGACCTTGGCCTCCTTCCGCCGCATCGGCCTGAACCTCGGGTCGGTCCGCGCCGCCGCGAACCTCTCGTCCTCCATCGCCCGCTTCATCTTCTCTTCTCCCCGCTTCACCTCCGCCCCCATAGCCTCGGCCTCAGCCCCAGCCTTGTTCTCCTTCTTGGGCTTCTTGCCGTGCTCCTTCCCCTCCTGCCCACCCTTGTGCTTGCGCTTGGCCTCGTTGCGGAGAGACGCTTCGTCCGCAGCGGGACGATCATGCTTATCCTTCCGGTGCTTTCTCTCGTCTTTGGAGTTGGATTTCTTGGCCTTCTTTTGACCCTTGAGGTCGACGGAGTCGGCCGTCGGCGCCATGGCGGCTGCTGCTAGGGACGCAGTGGCGGCGCGCGGCGGGGATGTGCAAGGGTATGGAGGGTAGCCGGAGTAACGAACGACCTGGACTATATGGATCCTACGTGGGCCGAGATGGACTACAAAAAGACCTGCCCGATATGCCCGGCACTTTGGCCCATGTTCGCATACAGGCCCCACATGTCAGCAGAACGGTGGTGTCCACTTGTTTATGAGCCGCCCCCTCGCTGTACGTCTGATCCACGGCATCATCAATTCGCTGGACGTACCACGACTCATTGCGCCCAATCTCACACCCGTTGCCCCATCGCCAAGCCTTCCTCGGCGTCATCGCCGTCGCCGTCGTCTCGCCGGCGTCGGCCGCTGGGAGGAGATGGCGTCGTCGCTGGACGCGCCCAACCTCGACGATTACCTCACCGCGGACTCGCTCCCGCAGGAACCCCCCAGGAGTCTCACCCTGTAACAGCCCTAACCCCCTGCCGCTGCGCCTTGCTTGCTTCTCGATCTCGCTCGTTTGATTATCGATTCCAGCTAGATTGTTGAGGCGTTTGATGCGGTTTTACAGGCGCGATCTGCTGGACATCTCGCCGGTGCTCACCGAGGCCGCGGGCGCCATCGTCGATGTGAGTGCCTTTTCTGATCCTTTTACCTTCTCTCTTGTTTCATGTGGGAATGTATGAGGTCAGTAGTCGTTTCTAGGCTTATGATCTGCAAGGTTTAGGATAAGGGGAAACAAGCCTCTTTCACCTTTACTATTTGGTGGAAAGGTGTGTAAGAATTATAATTTTGATTTACAAATGTTTAATTTGTGTGGTTTTGGTTCAGTTCGTGTAGGATTCTAGCATGTTGCTATTAGCTGGATGTCCTGTCATTGGCCACCTTGATTTAAGACCTCTTGAACTTTTGAGGGTTAGCTTGTTGTTTACTGCCATTATTATATCTATGGCTATTCTATTCAACACATCTCCAGCTGTAGTTTACATATTTGGCTTAAAAAATAGTCAATGATCCTGGATTAGATGGAAAGCAATACGGTCAGTCATTCGAAAGGCTGTTTTTGTTTTTTCTGTTTATTTAGGAGGGGTTTTGTTATATTTTCCAAATTTTTGACTCTTGGAATTGCGCGGTTAGTATTCACCATTATGTAATTTTGAAATATTGTTATGAAGGCTTCGGTCTGGCTGAGGCTAACTTAGCTTATGCGAACACCCAATTGAAAGGGCTAACATGTTTCTCTTGCTAGAACCAGTGGTGCTTGGATGAGTATTCCTTCGATATAGTGACTTCATTATAGATTACAGAAGTTCTTGCCATTGTTAAGTTCAACTTTTTGATAGGATGAAAAATTGTCTAGCTGCTGATCATTTTGTTTTGCTCGATAAAGTCAACTTTTTAGGAAGTGATGATAACTCAGTAGTTAGTACTGTCACAACTCTCCCTTAGTGGTTGTTCGGATATAGGGAATTATATGTGAGATTTTAGAAAACGAGTTTTTGGAGGATTTGTAGGAAAACCAGTTTTGGTTTGTTATTCTGTTATAAGGTAAGTACATACAATACCTTGTTTTGATCGGAAAATAGAAAAACACGATTTTGAGTTCTTCATTTTGGGGGAAATAGAAAAACAATTCATGGAGGTGCGGTGCTTCGGCTCGCTCTTGGCACCTACACGCACAGCAGCAGACAACCACACCGTAAACGGCTCTCCGGCGGGGTTGCGCGGCCATCGCCTTGGCTGCCGGGGTGGTAGCGCTGCTCGCCTGATTGTGCTCTGCTTCGTTCGCCGGTGTCATGAATGCTGTTCCAGGTCCCCATACGTCGCTCCGGTGACGAATTCTTTCCGCCATGAAGATGCACGTACATACAGCTCACATATGACAAGACACAAGCACATGGCGTAAAGCACCTTGATTGATTCTCAGGCCGGGCACGCATGTAACACCTAGCTGCTGTATTGATTTGCCGGTAACAGCAGAGCACAACGCACATGCTAGGGAGGAGCGACGACGACGCACAAGCTGGAGCATATGGACGATGACGGTAATTGTGAAGCTGCCGATGGACACAATGGCAGCTGGCCGCAGTCCGCGTCCACCATGGAGGCGCTGGGCTAGGTGGAGCATCGCAACCTGCTCCTGGGTGCCTGACCGAGATCGGCAATGGCGGCTTTTGGCTTTGTCAAGTTGCTGTCAAGGCCGTCGGAGTGTACCATGATCAGCGCGTCGGACTTCATTGATCTCCTGATGCATACAGAAAAGTTGTTTATATAAAAATGTCTATTAGTCGTTTTGTATAAACTGGGTTTTGGGGCTTTTGGAAAACTCAGTTTAGTATATCCACGAGTTTGTTAGATAATCCAAACAATTTTTCTGGTTGTTACACCAGATATCAGGTTTAAGAAAAACTACTTCTCTATAATCTAGGTATCCAAGCAACCCCTTAATGGAGGTGTAAAATAGAACATTGAACATTCTGTCATCCTTCATGGATATGAACTTGAGCATCTTTCGTGTATGTATGTGTTCATAGCCTCTATATTTTGAACATGAAATACCTGTTGTTTGAGGTGCACATAATTTGAATGTGTTTTGTTTTCTGTCTTATGGCATAATATTCGCCTTATCCAATATAAGAGGAAGCCAAACCTGCAAGTCTGAGCAGGTTGTAAATTAGAAAATAATAGTGGTTATTCATATTTGGGGAGGTGGAGGCGGGGAGAGGATTATCTCTACTACTTAAAAAGAATGTGAGGTTCCATGTTTCACTTTTCTTCTCACCACCCCTTCGTCTAACCTTCTTCGTATGATAATCAATCACCTTAATTTACTTACTTTGAATCAATTCACTTTAATTTACTTACCAAACTTGTCATCAAAATATCACGGGCAGGATTTGATAAACATTCATTTACAAATCGCATTTATTGGCAGGTTAATCACAAGCTAACATACTAGAATATTTATATCACGTTGCGACGCACGGGCGTTGTCCTGGTATATTACTATAAGTCTATCAGGGTCCAGTTTGTGTTCAAATAGGTTAAAGAGTCCTATTCTTTCAGTTTGATTCTCACTTGTAAGGCAGCCCCTTTATGTAATGAGGGAGGGACCTGTGATATGAGACCAGCAAAGAATTAGAATGAAATTATCCTTTTACTTGCTCAACTCTCTCTCCTGAGCGTAGGGCTCTCTAGCCCTAACCGCAGAATCTCCCTTGGGCGCCCAATCACCGAATCTTCAACCCTAGCCTAAACCTTGTTCTGAAAGTTTAAGTTCTGACATCTTTATGCCATGTCTCATTGACCACCGAGTATATGTGTCTTAGCTGTGCTATGATTCTTTTTTATGCGTTAGGTGCCTAGTTATGACCTTGCTTGTGTTTGCACTTATGCAGGATTCATTCACACGTTGCTTTAAGTCAAATTCTCCGGAGCCATGGAACTGGAACATCTATTTGTTCCCATTATGGTGCTTGGGAGTAGTCATAAGATATGGACTACTGTTTCCGCTAAGGTACTTATGTCCTATGACCTGAATTTTATACTGAGCTTTTGGGATATTGCTTGTTCTCATATGTAATATTTGTACTTCTTTTTCCTCTTTTGATTTGATATCAGTACTTCTGTTATTCTGCCTTGTTGATTTATTGTCAAAATATATTTGGTTTGATTCTAGGATAATGCAGTAGAATAATAATGGGTTTACATGCTATAGCTCTTTCAAATGATGTTTCACTCTTTGCCCTTTTCTTTTTGAGTGCTGTGTGTCGTACAACCTGCACTAAACCAGGCTTTGCAGTTTGCACATTTTCTGCCCTTCTGCAAGTATTATTTAGCCTATCATAACCATTGTTTTTAA